CTGCTTTCTGTCTTCATTTCAGGTCCCTGTGCTGCTGGAGTTGTGGGAATCAAGATGCCTCGTTATTGCCTATTTGGAGACACGGTCAACACAGCCTCCAGGATGGAATCCACTGGCCTCCGTAAGAAGGGAGATTGTTCTTAGAGGACAAAGATTCTGTCTTCCAGCAGAGGGCAACTGTAGCATAAAATGCACAATAAGGAGACAGAGTGCCAGTGAGATGTAGATGATCCTTCACGTGGGCTGAACAGGAGACTGTGTCAATCCAATTTTTTCTGCATTTGCTTTTGTTGTCATTTACTGATAATTATTTTATTCTTCCCTTTTGCTCAGTTTTAGGCTATTTTCATGTTTTTGGTTCATTTACAATGAATTCTGTCATGTTTTACATGGAATAGTCATGACATTTAGCATAGATCCATATAAGTTAAAAAAAAATTCAGTGGGCTAGATGAGGAATATACACTCTGGTTCACATTCTTATTTCCCCTTTATTTGGTTTTTCTGGGAATTGATTTTAGTAAAGAAGAATCTAAGTGTTTGTTATATGCAAAGGAACATATTATATTTGACTGGCAAGATGGAGACACAGTGAACTGCATGAAGTAGATGCTCAATAAATATTGATGACAGTGATAGTAATAGAAATATATAGAAGGGAGAAAAAAGCATTGGTAGATGTGGGTGGGGCCTACAAGGACATGGAGGCGGGATGGTATTTTGGTAGTCTACTGACAATCGGCTACTAGTTTGTACAGGAAAAATCACGCCGTAAAAAAAAAGAATAAGGTTGGGATCAGACAGACTTGGGTTAAAATTCTAATTATGCTAATCACTGTCAGCATAAATTGAGAAGTCATCTGATTTTTCTAGGCTTCAGAAAGACAAAGATATAAATTGAGGATGAGATACAAACCTTGCTGGGAAGGTTTCTGGAAGGATTTGGGATGATGTCACATTAAGCATTTAGCAATCCTTTGGTACACAGTAGGCATGCAATTTGAAATTGCCATTATTCTTGCTATTGTTATTGTTTGTGGTGTGGCCATTAGGTACCCATAGCAGGAAAGGTGGTAGACAGCAATGGACCTATGAAGGGGAATGCTGTCACCACTTGTTTGTCAAAAGGATAACAATGTTTCAGAAAAGGAAAATTTGAGAAAATCGAGACCCTGAGCCAGGCACAATGGCTCAAACCTGTAATCCCAGCACTTTGGGAGGTTGAGGCAGGAGGATCACTTGGAGGCTAAGAGTTCGACACCAGCATGGGGAACATAGCAAGACCCTGTCTCTACAAAAAATTTAAAAATTAGCCAGGCATAGTGGCACACACCTGTAGTCATAGCTACGAGGGAGGCTGAGGCAGGAGGATCGCTTGGGCCCAGGAGTTCAAGGCTATAGTGAGCTATGATTACACCACTGCATTCCAGCCTGGGCAACAGAGAGGGACCCTGTCTCTTATTTAAAAAAAAAAAGGACCCTGTAACTCTCTCCTGAATCTTCACCTTGCCCCCAATACTCCAGCTACTTATTAGAACTTTTACTCAGGGACCCAAAAGAAAATACCAACTCCTTAGCTTGGAACTACAAACCAAATCCAAAACTAGGTCCCACAGTCCATACCACTCAGGGCTGGAATGAGACTCTATGGAATGACACCTGGGAAGTTTTGTCACTCAGGACCCTGAAAACTGATGCTGAAACTGATGCTGAAAACTGAAAACTGACCCTTTCTTCCCATGTGTGATAATATTTTTAAGTATTCGTTCACTAAAATAGCCATATTTGTTTCTCCTTGATTTAGGACACTTGTATCAGGTGTTCCTGATATCCCGAATCAAAGGGTAACAAATGAGACCATAAGATAGAAAACAAAATGGATGAGATTTTTATTTATCTATTAAAATATTTTTGTATTTCCAGCCTTGAGAATTCATGTGAGTGGCTCCACTATAGCCATCCTGAAGAGAACTGAGTGCCAGTTCCTGTATGAAGTGAGAGGGGAAACATACTTAAAGGTAAGGAATTCACAACAGAGACCATACACAGAAAAAGCTCTCAGACACACGTGGTCCACCTCCTCTGAGCCTTAGCCAGGAAAGCTGAGGAGCACGCAGGTGAAGAACCCTTTTCTGTACTCCCCATAATGACCATCCACCATCCTCTGTAGGAGAAACCACCACTGAAGAATGTAAACTCAGAGCTTTCTTTTACTCCAAAGAGCCCTTTTGATATTTTAAACTCTAACAATATGTTACAAAACGCTGGCACCATTTCCTTCACATATCTCCAAGTTTTGTCCCCAGTTCCTCCTCCAAACCCAGGAGCTACAATCTGGTCCAGGACTTATTTAACTTAAGTCAAAACCCCCGTCTTCTCACTTACTTCCCTACATTTACTGGGAGGTGCTGCTATGATCTGAGGTCACCTCTCTTGCCAGTTGCTTTACCATTCTGTAGCTCTGGACCAGTGAATCACAAGATGTGGCCCCATACCCTGACCTGGCATCATCTGAATGCTTGTTAAAATGTAGGCGTCTGGGTACCCTCACCAGGCCTACGAAGCAAGACTCTTTGTAGGTGCAGATCAGAAATCTGTATCTGTAACAAGTATTCTATGTGTCTGTGATCACACTGAAGTTTGAGAATCACTACTCTAGATTCTCCATGCTGTTCCCCACATTTGAAACAACTGCCCTCTGAAGCCAGCAACTGTCTCCAGTTGGTTCTCAGGCTGCTTTCTGAAAGTTATTACAATCTTCTCATATTTGGTCCAAAGCCAGCCGTCGACTGCAAGATGATTGTCTCCAGTAGCCATAATGCTTCTGGCCTTTCCACTTTGATTACAACTTGGAAAAGCTTCCTTTTACCTAAAAATATCCTAATATTGCATTTGTTTTTTGAGTCCTCCATACGTACATTTTCTACATGAAACACTCCCCCAAAATAGAAGTGGTTTATGGA